ATATGCAAATACATGCTAGAACGCGCCAATAGGATCTCGCTAGCTCGTGCTTGGCTCTGCCCACCTCCTTGCTTGTTCTGCCCACTATGACTCATTTGTTCCCATTTGAAACGACGGGCTGTGGTCTATCTTGGTTGAGTTATAAAAATCTTTGGCATTACTCTTCCTCTCTGGGAACGCTGTCAGCACGGCCAATGCCCTTTAAAAATGTCACTAGTTGCTTCAAGCCACACCCACCAAACGGGAGCAAGTCTGTTCAAGAACGTTTTGGGGGAACGTGTCGTTCAGTACAAACCGTTCCGCAACGTAGCAAACGTTTAAGCGAACTGAACGCACCTCAGTATGTAGCCGATCAGGTTTCAGATGTTTATTTTACGTCTGCTACGTTAGGTTAGGCTAATTACTGTATTCGTATCATACCGTTTTAGAATACGGTTAGTGTTCATTCAAGAGACGAGCCTTTTCACCTCAGATGCCACCATGCATCAACCAACGATAATGTCGTTGTTTAACCCTGTCTCTTATATATTTGTTTAGTGGTAATAATCGTATTTATTTGGAAAACATATTGGCTGATTTTGCACGTCGTCAAACTCGTTCACTGATTGGCTTGCTAGCTACGTCTGAACCTATGCGTATGGTGGTAAACATCTGAGCGTGCGCTTGCGTACTGGTAGTAATGGAGGACAAGTCCTTCTCTTCGGGGTAAAACCGGAATTACTATCAATAACAAGACAACAACTGCCCAAGAATTATCGGTTGAAGTTATTTAACATTGTTGGTAAGTTATCTTGTTTTAAAGTTGTAATTTAACGCCATATGTGGCTTGTTCATCATGAACACGTCGTTGAAAATTGCAATGGCTAGCTAGTTAGCAGACGTTAGCAATAAGATGGCTTACTAGTTAGCTGGCTTACTAGTTAGCTAACTTAGCTATTTTCTATGTATTATTAGCGAGATATTTAGTTAGCATAAAATCAGATTTCTTATTGACGTGTTATTATTTATCTTGTTTATGGTACGCATAACATTAGGCTAGAACATTTGCTCTAAGCTGTTAGCCGCTAACTAGCTACACTTCAGGGTAGGCCGAACATGACTTTAAGAGACGCTGCTCTTGACCAATCAGGTTGCTGCTTTTGTTTTGGTCTGGTAGGTAGGTTGGTACATGCATAGAATTAGGAATTAGGAATTAGAATACTAGAATGTACATGAACCTTCTTATGATGGGATAAATGTCCGCCATTTTGGTCAGGGAGTTGGGCAACTATGGTTGGCCAGTGCTGTGATGAGATATTGTGTAAAATAATGATTTTTAAAGGCCCACCTCAGAGGAAGTTGCCTGAGTAATTCCAGTCCTATAGCGTGAATTCTCGTTTAGGATTGCTGGATTGCTGATGCTGTGTATTGGCTAATGAGAGGCTTTGTAGCCACCGGTCAGCCATATAGGCACTCCTCAGAAAAGCAGTCCTCCATAGGAATAAATGGACTTCTACAGTATTTCATTTAAGGATAAGGATAAAATTACATGTATTTTTGTTGTTGTGGTGGGGATAGTAACATTAGTACTTTCTAAAAAAGTATACTTTAAGAAAAATGTTTTTATATATTTGTATTATTATTTTATTTTTTAGCTCTAATAGAATAAACGTGGCAAAAATAAATGTAGACTTTTATAAATGCATTTCTATAGCTTCCAAATAATATTTTACAATGGTGGGGGAGTGCCAAGATGGAGGCACGGTGGTGTCAAAACAGCGCACCCTGTTAGTCATCTAGTTTAAATAAATAATTGGTCCAGCTCAAAGACTGACACAGGCTGCTAATACATATTCAGGAATGTACATACACATTAGCCAAATACATTTAAACTCAGTTTTTCACAATTCCTGACATTTAATCTTAGTAAAAATTCCCTGTCTTTGGTCAGTTAGGATCACCACTTTATTTTAAGAATGTGGAATGTCAGTATAATAGTAGAGAGAATTATTTATTTAAGCTTTTATTTCTTTCATCACATTCCCAGTGGTTCAGAAGTTTACATACACGCAATTAGTATTCGGTAGCAATGCCTTTAAATTGTTTAACTTGGGTCAAACGTTTCGGGTAGCCTTCCGCAACCTTCCCACAATAAGTTGGGTGAATTTTGGCCCATTTCTCCTGACAGAGCTGGCGTAACTGAGTCAGGTTTGTAGGCCTCCTTGCTCGCACACACTTTTTCAGTTCTGGCCACACATTTTCTATAGGATTGAGGTCAGGGCTTTGTGATGGCCACTCCAATACCTTGACTTTGTTGTCCTTAAGCCATTTTGCCACAACTTTGGAAGTATGCTTGTGGTCATTGTCCATTTGGAAGACCCATTTGCGACCAAGCTTTAACTTCCTGACTGATGTCTTGAGATGTTGCCCCTTTTTCCTCCAAACATAACGATGGTCATTATGGCCAAACAGTTCTATTTTTGTTTCATCAGACCAGAGGACATTTCTCCAAAAAGTACGATCTATGTCCCCATGTGCAGTTGCAAACCGTAGTCTGGCTTTTTTATGGCGGTTTTGGAGAAGTGGCTTCTTCCTTGCTGAGCGGCCTTTCAGGTTATGTCGATATAGGACTCGTTTTACTGTGGATATATATACTTTTGTACCTGTTTCCTCCAGCATCTTCACAATGTCCTTTGCTGTTGTTCTGGGATTGATTTGCACTTTTCGCACCAAAGTACGTTCATCTCTAGGAGACAGAACGTGTCTCCTTCCTGAGCGGTATGGCGGCTGCGTGGTCCCAAGGTGTTTATACTTGCGTACTATTGTTTGTACAGATGAACGTGGTACCTTCAGGCGTTTGGAAATTGCTCCCAATGATGAACCAGACTTGTGGAGGTCTACAATTATTTTTCTGAGGTCTTGGCTGATTTCTTTTAGATTTTCCCATGATGTCAAGCAAAGAGGCACTGAGTTTGAAGGTAGGCCTTGAAATACATCCACAGGTACACCTCCAATTGACTCAAATTATGTCAATTAGCCTATCAGAAGCTTCTAAAGCCATGACATCATTTTCTGGAATTTTCCAAGCTGTTTAAAGGAACAGTCAACTTAGTGTATGTAAACTTCTGACCCACTGGAATTGTGAAATAATCTCTCTGTAAACAATCTTTGGAAAAATGACTTGTGTCATGCACAAAGTAGATGTCCTAACCGACTTGCTTAACTATAGTTTGTTAACAAGAAATTTGTGGAGTGGTTGAAAAATGAGTTTTAATGACTCCAACCTAAGTGTATGTAAACTTCCGTTTGCCGGCCCGAGACGAAGTCGAGGGCCTAACCACACCCGTGCCAGTATATCCATCAAACACCGGCTTCTCTGGCATTATGACTTAATTATTCACCATCTTTGCTGTAGCCAAAGATTATCTATTATATTGCTCAGCTCAGTCACGACATGTGAATTTTGCAGGTCTTTCTGATTAATAAACAATGCCATGCTTGTGGGTGGTACCATTCAAATGAAACCCATCCCATAAATGAAACAGAGACAAAATTATTTACACGTCATTTAATAGGAAAAGTCACATCATTGGCACGAATTTGCACGAAGAGGGCAGTTCGGTTTTGTCACTTCAAGCCCAAATATATCATACTTTGACTAAAACTATGACTTATTGACTGACATTGTTGTGCAACGTGGGTAAGCTCTGGACATCGTCTTTCACCTCAAAAGTGGATTTCTACTGGTGTGGGCGTTTTAAGAATATATCTGCAATGTATGTTTGTTAGCTAGCTAGCAAGACAGTTTTACAGGCGTTATTCCATATATTTTTCAAATTAACTGACAATATGCCAACATTCCATTCAAACAATTCAGTCAATCCACAGCCATACACTGGCTGAAATCAGTTGATGATAGGACTTATGACAACAAGTACTGATATCGTATCATATAATAGCACAAACAGCTGTCGTGGAAATTCTTACACAGGGACACTCAAAGTCAATATTAAATGAATCATTGTTTATTGTCAGTGCGCTGGAGAGGTTCCAACAAACGTAATGCAGCATAGTGAACGTCTGTCAGGAGCTCTAACGGGGCAGTCCCGTTTAGTTCCCTTATATGCTGGTTACAGACACGTTACATAGTCATAGTTCATAGGGTTGGTTCCCGGCATGTCTGGCACCGTCTCCTATCTTAACTTAAATAACATATTCTGGGCGTTCTGCCAACTAGTCTAAAGGAGGAGGTCATAACGACCCCCTCTCATATCCTTATCAGGCACAGGCAGGAACCAAGGATTGTTTATGACACCAAAGACAAGATGCACAAAGTAAAATTTCCTTTACACAGCATTCCAAGAAAACAAAAATGTCTGTTTACATATATTTTAGAGGCTATTATACAGAAAATTGGTATAAAACCTGTATAAACTGTATTTATAATTATATGACAATATTTTGGATTGACAATAATTCTATTACACAATTTTTGATATCACATGCCTTTTATTTTCCTGCATAAGTAAAATCAGGATTATGCCTCTACTGCCATTCATTCCAATTATACTGGTTTCGATTTTTCCCTGACCAATATGGCTGCCATTTTCACCCCATTCTGGAACTTTGAGGGATTATGACATAGCCCTTCTAGTAATTTAATAGGATCTCTATGGGTACATGCATGAGACAAAGGACTAAATCAACTTCGACCGAATTATTTTATCCTGTTGTTTACATAGCTATTTACAACCAACCAACACATTGTAAACACTCAGTAGCCTAACAGTGGGCTGTGACTGGGTCATCAACCAGCATTTTGGCAATATTATGCATCACACATGTTTTGCTACCACCTGGCCACCCAGTCACCACTGATTATTATAATTTTTTCTTCCCCAACGGACATCCTTAGTATTATCAATAGCATGCATGCTCACGGACTACTGTTGTTAAACTGTCGCTATTCTTGTGATATTGAATCTTGTTGAATTCGGATCTGCAGGGCCATTCTATTTAGGATGGCGTCCGATTCGGGGCCGCAGACTCCCAGCTCCAAAGGGATCATGACCTTTCACCCCACTGCTGAGGAGTTTCAGAACTTCAGCCGCTATATCGCATACATGGAGTCCCAGGGAGCACACAAAGCTGGTCTGGCTAAAGTAAGCAACGACACAACCCCTTCTGCCTTGTGAAGATTCTTTTCTGATTTGTATTACCTATACCTGCTTTCAGAACTGTAACTTTGTGGTACTAAAATGTTATGTTTTTATAGATCGTGCCACCGAAGGATTGGAAACCCAGGAAGTCCTATGACGATATAGATGACTTGGTGATCCCAGCTCCCATCCAGCAGGTCGTGACGGGCCAGTCAGGTCTGTTCACCCAGTACAACATCCAGAAGAAGCCCATGACCGTCCGAGAGTTCCGCAAGACGACCAACAGCGACAAGTGAGTCTGACTGCACCAACACTGTAACATCTGTAACATACTAAACATAGTGTATGAATAAGCAATTCTGTATGTTTCCTCTTGTATGAAGACTTTGTGAATTGGTCTGTGATTGGGAAAGCCACTCTGTGGACATGCTATATGATTGAGGAAATTATACAGCTACAAAAGTTAATAACATGGTTGAAAGTTGGGGTTTGTATGATCATGTAAGTATTATTAATTATTGTTTCTCTAGATTTTGACAGGCTGTGGCTTTACAGGCACTCATTAAAAAACTTGATCATTTCTAATCAGCAGTACCGATTGGCCCTGTTTATTTTTTCCCCATCATAGGTTCTGCAGTCCTCGCTATGCCGACTTTGAGGAGCTGGAGAGGAAGTACTGGAAGAACGTGACCTTTAACCCGCCCATCTACGGGGCCGATGTGAACGGAACACTCTATGACCCTGTGAGTAATAACGAATCCCCTCTGGGTTGTTTTTAATATTCTATGGTGTTTACAATGTTGACATGTTGTTATTGTTCCTAGTTATAAGGATGTTGGCTGATGAGAGTGAGGTGTTTTGTGGTTGTGTAGACGGACGGTTGTGTAGATTACTTGTAAGTGTTTCTCTCAGTCATGTGTTGCACCCACAATTTTAATTCACAACAAATCTACAAGGCTGCAATGGTTTTGTTTCAATGCATCGATGATGATAATAAATCTCCAGCGACAATAGTTACATTATTCTATCTTTCTCTCCAGGATGTGACAGATTGGAACATCGGCAAACTGAACACCATCCTGGACACGGTGGAGCACGAGAGTGGTATAACCATCGAGGGGGTGAACACGCCCTACCTGTACTTTGGCATGTGGAAGACCACCTTCGCCTGGCACACCGAGGACATGGACCTCTACAGCATCAACTACCTCCACTTTGGAGCGCCCAAGTCCTGGTAACTAACTACACTATTACTCACATAATAGATTTACCGGTAGTTGTGTGTGTGTGTATAAGAGCCATGTTATTAAGCATCGACATACTGATGATGGTAATGGGAGTGCAGTTTGGGGACTCTTTGTCATTATCGGAACAACACTCAACAAGTAAAATAAATGGCAACTATTGTAATGTCTCTGTTATAACAGGTGATAACTGATTATTGACAGTCTGATATCCTCACAGGTACTGTGTTCCTCCAGAGCATGGGAAAAGAATGGAGCGCTTGGCTCAAGGTGAGAGGCATGATCATGTGTGAAGTTTGAGGCTGTTAGAACAACTGATTTTTAACAAGCATTAATCCAATGCACTGTTTTCTGCTGTTCCCTTGCAGGGTTTTTCCCTGGAAGCCACCAAAATTGCGAAGCCTTCCTGAGGCACAAGATGACCCTCATCTCTCCCTCCATATTGAGGAAATATGGCATTCCATTTGAGAAAGTAATACTAGCCTAATACAATGTGTGATGTCATAAACTCTTATGCTGATATATAAAGCTTTACACAGGGTATAGTATATCATTGCTATTTCCTATTTGTTTTCCAGATCACTCAGGAGCCGGGTGAGTTCATGGTGACGTTTCCCTATAGCTACCACGCCGGATTTAACCATGGCTATAACTGTGCAGAGTCCACCAACTTTGCAACTGAAAGATGGATTGAGTATGGAAAGCAAGCCATACTGGTAAGGATAAAAAAAATTTTTTAATGTATTTCAGTGTTCCTCCTTTAAAGGTGCTATACATAGGATTTTTTTTAGGTTTTGCATTTTAATTTCAGAACATTTAAATTATATCTGCAGTAATAGTGTGACGATAGTGTTTCACAGTATTACTTACCCGCCAGTGTTGTGATTGGCTGTGATATTCGCCTATTGATTTCTCCCGCTGGGCCGGTTTATTTTATAAAAATGGGAAAGCTGTGGCTGTGTTATCTAGTGGAAACCAGGGCAAGCGGCCAATGTAGAAATAGCTCTGTCATTTCCTGGTTGCAAAAATTCTACACTGTTCACTCAAGTTCAATGTATGTGAGAAAACAAGCACTGAATAGTGTAGAGAATCAATGTTAAATATCTTTTCAATAACCAAAAATATACACTGAACAAAAATATAAACTCAACATGCAACAATTTCAAAGATTTTAAACAGTTACAGTTCTTATAAGGAAATCAGTCAGTTGAAATCAATTCATTAGGCCCTAATCTATGCATTTCACATGACTGGGAATACAGATATGCATATGTTGGTCACAGATACCTTAAAAAAAAAAAAGTAGGGGCCTGGATCAGAAATCTGGTGTGACCAGCATTTGCCTCAGGCAGCGTGACACATCTCCTTCGCATAGAGCTGATCAGGCTGTTGATTGTGGCATCTGGAATGTTGTCCCACTCCTCTTCAATGGCTGTGTGAAGTTGCTGGATATTGGTGGGAACTGGAACACTTTGTCATACACGTCGATCCAGAGCATCCCAAACATGCTCATTGAGTGACATGTCTGGTGAGTATGCAGGCCATGGAAGACCTGGGAAATTTTCAGCTTCCAGGAATTGTGTACAGATCCTTGCGACATGGGGCCGTGCATTATCAGGCTGAAACATGAACTGATGGCGGCGGATGAATGGCATGACAATGGGCCTCAGGATCTTGTCACGGTATCTCTGTGCATTCAAATTGCCATCGATAAAATACAATTGTGTTTGTTGTCCGTAGCTTAGTTTGTGCAGAAATTATTCGGTTGTGCAAACCCACAGTTTCATCAGCTGTCCAGGTGGCTGGTCTCAGATGGTTCCATAGGTGAAGAAGCCGGATGTGGAGGTCCTGGGCTGGCGTTGTTACACGTGGTCTGCGGTTGTGAGTCTAGCTGGACGTACTGCCAAATTCTCTAAAACGACGTTGGAGGTGGCTTATGGTAGAGAAATGAACATTACATTCTCTGGCAACAGTTCTTGTGGACCTTTCTGCAGTCAGCATGCCAATGGCACGCTCCCTCAACATTTGAGACATCTGTGGTATTGTGTTGTGACAAAACTGCACATTTTAGAGTGTCCTTCTATTGTCCCTAGCACAAGGTGCACCTGTGTAATGGTCATGCTGTTTAATCAGCTTCTTGATATGCCACACCTGTCAGGTGGATGGATTATCTTGGCAAAGGAGAAATCCTCACTAACAGGGATGTAAACAAATTTGTGCACAGAATTTGAGAGAAATAAGCTTTTTGTGCAGATGGTAAATTTACGGGATCTTTTAGTTCAGCTCATGAAACATGGGACCAACACTTTACATGTTGCGTTTTATATTTTTGTTCAGTGTAGTTTTTACAGGTGTTTGAGGCTGGTGGACCAAAAGTAAAAGGCTCAAGCACGAGTCTCTGACATGTTACTGGGAAATGGGATACAGGGGGAGGGGGAGGGGGGATTTGTTTTGAATGCAGCCTAGTGCTGTTGCAATTCACCTACCTTCCACATAGGGGACAAATTCAGAGATTCTATGTGTAGCACCTTTAAACAACCTTGTACATTAATATCATTATCAAGGGATGCTATAGTAGGAACATTGTGGCATATATATGGTAAATGAGGGAAACTGGGAAAAGACGGTCCTTTTATCATCAATACTGTCTCATAAAGCTCTATCAGACTGACCTTAGTTTTACTTTAGTGGTTGTTTAACCTTCATTCTTTGGGGGCATGATTACTTCCCTAGCACTTATACTTCCTACCTCTTTCCTCCAGTGTTCGTGCAGGAAGGATATGGTGAAGATCTCCATGGACCTGTTTGTGAAGAAGTACCAGCCGGACCGCTACGAGCAGTGGCTGGCAGGGCAGGACACAGGGTCCATTGACCACTCACAACCCACCCCAGAGGCCAAGGAGTTCCTAGAGGAGGATCAGGGGAAGGACTGCATCTCCCATGAGCCCTGTGTGGAGGAGCTCAACACGGAGGGGGAGAGAAAGAGGTCAGAAGAGATCTGTTAATTTTTATGTTGGTAGAGCAGATTTTGTTTTGTTTTATGGTATATGGATTTAAATTCCCATTCTGAAATGCTTGACATGAAAAACTATTAAACTTTGATGTTTTGTGGCCCATCAGCCCCACACAGAGGATAGGGACCAAGAGGCACCGGGTGTGTCTGGATGTACCTGACGAGGTGGTCCCTAAAGATGAAGAAGAGGACGAGGAGTATGGAAAGAAAGCCAGACTAGGCCTCTCCACTCAGGGCACGGGAGCAGAGGACTGCGAAGATACAGGTAATCTCACTGACAGTAAGGCTGTGCCTTTCTACCTCATCACTTATTTTCACAATTTAAAACCTGTGCAATTATATGAAACCTCTACACAGATGATGCATGGTATGATACATTAGTACAAATCAGAGGTAACATGAAAAAGTATCATGTCAGCGCCTTTGGAGGCTTGTGTTCAAATCCCACCGCTGCCACCAAATGTCAAATTGTTTGAATCTAGGCCTCTTTTGTGTTTGTATTAGGGCTATTCACCTGTAAAGGAATTTCGCTGAGACTGTTAAAGTTAGTCCTTGTGCATAGAGTTCTATGGTTTGTTAAACTTTGAAATCAATGGTTTTTGTTTGGTATACATTTTAAAGTTAAAAATCTGAGTATTGTAGTAAATAGATCTGCATCACTGATTCACAGTGGGACTCTGATACTTGGAAATGATATCCCCATTGCTTCTCCATGTTTGTATTTCAGTCACCTTGAGGGACCTCCCTAATGTAAAGACAGACCCTATGCAGGGCAACAGCAGCAGAAGCCCTGCTCCGCAAAAAGTCACAATCCCCTCCACCAGCAATCATGCGGCAGCCATTTTGGCTCAACCCCAGTCGCACAGAAACGGGCACCTTCCAGGAGTGGCTCCTCCAGCCAGGACCGGCGCCTCCACCCATCCGATCAGAAAGCTAGGGGTGGCCAGCCTGCTCTTTCATAAGACCCAGAGCCCTAAGGAGGCCCTGCAGGTCCACAGCTACGCCCGCGAGAACCAGCAGCAGATTCATCACACCCACCTCCATGTGCACAGTTACGCCAGGGAGCACCTGCCACGGCACCTCCAACCCCACCTGCAACTCAAGCCCAAGCCCCAGGCCCAAGTCAAGGCCGAGCAGCAGGAGTCCCATGTCCCATCTACCAAAGGAGAGCAGAACCAGGCCGAAGCACAGAGTCCCTGTAAGGGAGAACAGGTTGAAACCAAAGTCCAGACCCAAGGCCTCGATAAGTGGCGGCAGCATCCTGGCGAGGCCCAGGCTTGGGAGGAGAGGTCCGAAGCCAGATCCCCTAGCAGTCCAGAGCCCGTTCAGACCCAAGCACACAACAGGGCAGCCAAAAGGGTTGAGGCGGAGGTCCGAAGGGACAGGCGGAAGGTTTGTTTGCCCTCTTTCATGGCGTTATCTTTAGCAGTTATTACTGTTTGGTTATAAGTTTGTAGTGTAGTTTGTGATGATAGTAGAGACTGATATTAGAGGTGAATATGTTAAAAATGAAAATGTGACATTGATGTTTCCACACTTGCCATACAGTAGAAAATGCCATTAGATGTGGAAACGACACGAGCCAGCTGATGGTTACTCATCCTCTTCCTTCCTCTTTCTCTCTTTCCACAGCAATGTCTTTCCCCTGTGCAGGCGGAGTTAACTTTAATGAAGCAGACAAACTTATGTCCAAATAAGCCAACAATCTTACGTCCAAGTAAGCTGACAAACTTAAGTCCAAGTAAGCAGACGGACTCAAGTCAGAGTAAGCAGACGCAGTCAAGTTCAAGTAAGCAGACGGAATGCAAGAGTAAACCGCATCCTCTCCTCCGCAAGCTGCCCAAACAGCACCCACTACTCAGGACCAGGGAAAGCTCCAGTGATGACGGTGAGTACCTGGTTGTAGTGCCGTCATGGACTTTTATAACAAGCAACCATTTGCGAGGCTCGACATTCACTAGGGGACAAGTAAAAAAAAAAAAAAATGTTGGACAAGAAGATTTAAGTTGTCCGAATGGACAAGTAAAAAAATTCACACATCACAATATCAAACAATTACTCCAATCAGAATTGGATCAGTGAGACCAACATTTAAATAATATTCAAATCTGTTTTTCATATACATAATAAAAAAGCCTACATGTCAAAGTGTAGGTGATGCGTATTGTCGACAGCCTCATCCAAACCGATGCTGACATGAGGGAGGTGCCATAAAATGTAGCCAAACTTTAATAAGACTTTTAATGACAGAAATATAGGCTAAAGGTCAGTCATGTTTGACAAATATAATGAAGGATACTTAATGTTATCCACAAGCTTGATTCTGACGACATACAGTGCATTTGGAAAGTATTCAGACTTAACTTTTTCCACATTTTGTTACATTACAGCCTTATTGTTTTTTACCCTCATCAATCTACACAAAATACCCCATAATAACAACGTTGTTTTTTACATTTTTGCAAATGTAAAAAATAACAACCCCGGAAATATCACATTTACATAAGTATTCAGACCTTTTACTCAGTACTTTGTTGAAGCACCTTTGGCAGCGATTACAGCCTTGAGTCTTCTTGGGTATGACGCTACAAGCTTGGCACACCTGTATTTGGGGAGTTTCTCCAATTCTTCTCTGCAGATCCTCTCAAGCTCTGTCAGGTAGGATGGGGAGCGTCGCTGCACAGCTATTTTCAGGTCTCTCCAGAGATGTTCGATCGGGGTTCAATTCCGGGCTCTGGCTGGGCCACTCAAGGACATTCAGAGACTTGTCCCGAAGCCACTCCTGCGTTCTCTTGGCTGTGTGCTTAGGGTCGTTGTCCTGTTGGAAGGTGAACCTTTGCCCAAGTCTGAGGTCCTGAGCGCTCTGGAGCAGGTTTTCATCAAGGATCTCTCTGTACTTTGCTCCGTTCATATTTCCCTTGATCCTGACTAGCCTCCCAGTCCCTGCCGCTTTCCTCAAGACGTGACGCTTGGCATTCAGGCCAAAGAGTGCAATCTTGGTTTCATCACACCAGAGAATCTTGTTTCTCATGGTCTGAGAGTCTTTAGGTGACTTTTGGCAAACCCCAAGCGGGCTGTCATGTGCCTTTTTACTGGGGAGTGGCTTCCGTCTGGCCACTCTACCATAAAGGCCTGATTGGTAGAGTGCTGCAGAGATGGTTGTCCTTCTGGAAGGTTCTCCCATCTCCACAGAGGAACTCCGGAGCTCTGTCAGAGTGACCATCAGGCTCTAGGAAGAGTCTTGGTAGTTCCAAACTTCTTCCATTTAAGAATGTTGGTGGCCACTGTGTTCTTGGGGATCTTCAATGCTGCAGAAATGTTTTGGTACCCTTCCCCAGATCTGTGCCTCGACACAATCCTGTCTTGGAGCTCTACGGACAATTCCTTTGACCTCATGGCTTGGTTTTTGCTCTGACATGCACTGTCAACTGTGGGACCTTACAGTGAGGGAAAAAAGTATTTGATCCCCTGCTGATTTTGTACATTTGCCCACTGACAAAGAAATGATCAGTCTATAATTTTAATGGTAGGTTTATTTGAACAGTTAGAGACAGAATAACAACAAAAAAATCCAGAAAAACGCATGTCAAAAATGTTATAAATTGATTTGCATTTTAATGAGGGAAATAAGTATTTGACCCCCTCTCAATCAGAAAGATTTCTGGCTCCCAGGTGTCTTTTATACAGGTAACGAGCTGAGATTAGGAGCACACTCTTAAAGGGAGTGCCTGTAATCTCAGCTTGTTACCTGTATAAAAGACACCTGTCCACAGAAGCAATCAATCAATCAGATTCCAAACTCTCTACCATGGCCAACACTAAAGAGCTCTCCAAGGATGTCAGGGACAAGATTGTAGACCTACACAATGCTGGAATGGGCTACAAGACCATCGCCAAGCAGCTTGGTGAGAAGGTGACAACAGTTGGTGCGATTATTCGCAAATGGAAGAAACACAAAAGCACTGTCAATCTCCCTCGGCCTGGGGCTCCATGCAAGATCTCACCTCGTGGAGTTGCAATGATCATGAGAACGGTGAGGAATCAGCCCAGAACTACACGGGAGGATCTTGTCAATGATCTCAAGGCAGCTGGGACCATAGTCACCAAGAAAACAATTGGTAACACACTACGCCGTGAAGGACTGAAATCCTGCAGCGCCCGCAAGGTCCCCCTGTTCAAGAAAGCAGATATACAGGCCCGTCTGAAGTTTTCCAATGAACATCTGAATGATTCAGAGGAGAACTAGGTGAAAGTGTTGTGGTCAGATGAGACCAAAATCGAGCTCTTTGGCATCAACTCAGCTCGCCGTGTTTGGAGGAGGAGGAATGCTGCCTATGACCCCAAGAACACCATCCCCACCGTCAAACATGGAGGTGGAAACATTATGCTTTGGGGGTGTTTTTCTGCTAAGGGAACAGGACAACTTCACTGCATCAAAGGGACGATGGACGGGGCCATGTACCGTCAAATCTTGGGTAAGAACCTCCTTCCCTCAGCCAGGGCATTGAAAATTGTTCGTGGATGGGTATTCCACCATGACAATGATCCAAAACACACGGCCAAGGCAACAAAGGAGTGGCTCAAGAAGAAGCACATTAAGGTCCTGGAGTGGCCTAGCCAGTCTCCAGACCTTAATCCCATAGAAAATCTGTGGAGGGAGCTGAAGGTTTGAGTTGTCAAACGTCAGGCTCGAAACCTTAATGACTTGGAGAAGATCTGCAAAGAGGAGTGGGACAAAATCCCTCCTGAGATGTGTGCAAACCTGGTGGCCAACTACAAGAAACGTCTGACCTCTGTGTTTGCCAACAAGGGTTTTGCCACCAAGTACTAAGTCATGTTTTGCAGAGGGGTCAAATACTTATTTCCCTCATTAAAATTAAATCAATTTATAACATTTTTGACATGCGTTTTTCTGGATTTTGTTGTTGTTATTCTGTCTCTCACAGTTCAAATAAACCTACCATTAAAAATATAGACTGATCATGTCTTTGTCAGTTGGGCAAACGTACAAAATCAGCAGGGGATCAAATACTTTTTTCCCTCACTGTATATAGACAGGTGTGTGCCTTTCCAAATCATGTCCAATCAATTGAATTGACCACAGGTGGACTCCAAGTTGTAGAAACATCTCAAGTATGATCAATGGAAACAGGATGCACCTGAGCTCAATGTCGAGTCTCATAGCAAAGGGTCTGAATACTTATGTAAATAAGGTATTTCTGTTTTTATTTGTTATGCATTTGCAAAATATTCTAAAAACCAGTTATTCGCTATGTCATTATGGGGTATTGTGTCGATGGATGAGGAAAACAATTAATTTAATACATTTTAGAATAAGGCTGTAATGTGATTTTTTTTTGGGGAAAAAGTCAAGGGGTCTGAATACTTTCCGAATGCACCGTACTTGAGGCACGGTTCGTTCAGATCAAATGGTCACAAGACCGGAGAGTGAAGGACAGTGCCTGCTGCGCACCGCACATCACCCACCTTGAATCTGAGCGGAGGCAGTCAGTATTTTGAAACTATTTAACCATAAACTTAATTGTTTAAAACATGGACATTTTATGTCAATTTATAAGTAGCCTGGCCAAAATACGACCATAGAAATGTTAAGGGGATTTTTTATTAACACTTAAAATGCCTTTGAAACCAGTTGTTCTATTGGTTTTCAAATCAACATTATTTTATTGTCCAGCTGCCAAAGGCATAATCCTAGTCATATCAGTAATCCTTACTAGTTGATGCATCTTTAGATCACCCCTTTCTTATTTCTAACGGATATCTTCATCTCTGTCACATGAAACTCCTCACGCGTGCGGTGTGCTTTTGAGAACAGTGTTTTCCCGCTAATTGCATTTTGGAACATACGTAAATAGCCTATAGCCATGTGCGCATTGTTGTGCTTATAATATGAAGAAGTAAAACTTTATCAATATTTTAAGCTAAACGGTCTGTTCGGTTGCATCAGCCTCATTGCTTTAAAAAAAAATTGCAATGTGCAGTGGTTGTATGAATTTTGGATCTGTCGTCCCAGAGTCTGTTTTGGACCGTAGACATGTACAAAAGTATTTGGTTGTAATTGTAAGGTTGCAATATTTTATAGGCTACCAAGGGTGGCCAACCATCCTCCAGGAGAGCCTTAAAGGGGCAGTGTTGTATTTTGAGACAGGCTTGAATATGCAAAGGCAGAATGTAGCCAAAATGTGTGTCTGATTCTCTATGGTAAAAAAGATAGTAATGCATTTTAATTAGTAAAGTGGTGCCTTGCATCATACAATGATGTAAAAATTGTGTTACAGACCATTTTTCTATTTTTGGACATGTGACTTGAGCTTTTGGACAAGTAAAAAATCTGTGCTACTTGTCCGAAGGATAAGTGGTAAAAAAAAAAAGCTAATGTCAAGCCCTGATTTGAACGGATGTTCTGTACATATTCAGAGCCCTGCTCTCGTTCTCGTTTCTCTTAACCTCCCTCTTCCATCTCTCTCTCTCTATCCCTATCTTTCTCTCCTGCAGATGAACTGTGTGTGGACATGGAGGATGAACCAGAGGAGAAGGAGGAGTGGGCCAAGCCCCTGGCCCAGCTGTGGCAGAGCAGACCTTACAACCCCCAGGCGGAGAGGGAATACAACAAACTCATGGGCCTGCAGGCCCCCTACTGCTCCATCTGCCTGCTTTTCCACACATATGACCAGGTAAGAGAACTCCACTGTCTTGCTTCAACTACAGTTCAGCTGTTGTTCATAGGCACCCAAACAAGGTTTTTATTTGACTGATAACGCAAAACATAATAATGAGGTCCAAAACATTTTAGTTTTTACAATTTTGATTCACTGAAACCATTCAGCCAACAAGTCCAGGTCAGCACAATAACATTCATATAAACGACTATTTAACGCTACTAATACGTGTACCTTTCCCTCCTATCCAGTCGGAGTCAAGCGGCAACCCCAGCTACATTCTAAAAGGCCGGCGCGGGGGCAGACAGAGGTCCAAGCCCCTGATCCCGGAGATGTGTTTCAGCACCACCAATGACAAGACGAACAACAGCAGCAGCAGCGAGGGCGAGGGACAACTTTCCACCCCTCACCTGGAGGAGGACGGCACCAGCCTGCTGGTCTGCTGCTCCCAGTGCTGCGTCCGCGTCCACGCCAGTGAGTAACCCAGCTTCATTCACTATCACTATGTTTACAGCCTGTTAGATTGAGCATGTATTTCATTAGTAATTACATTTACATTTACATTTTAGTCATTTAGCAGACGCTCTTATCCAGAGCGACTTACAGTTAGTGAATACATGTTTTTTTTTTATACTGGCCCCCCGTGGGAAACGAACCCACAACCCTGGCGTTACAAACGCCATGCTCTATCAACTGAGCTACATCCCCGCCGGCCATTCCCTCCCCTACCCTGGATGACGCTGGGCCAATTGTGCGCCGCCCATGAGTCTCCCGGTCGCGGCCGGCTGCGACAGAGCCTGGATTCGAACCAGGATCTCTAGTGGCACAGTTAGCACTGCGATGCAGTGCCTTAGACCACTGCGCCACTCAGGAGTCTGCTAATTGATTGTAGTGTTGTAGGCTACGCTTTCAATGAATTCTAGTTAATTTACACCAGTTGTTAGACAGCACGTTTCCATTGATAATCAATGATTTGCTCTTGCTGAATCCCAGTTCATTCACATCAGCAGTCCGTTTCACACTACTGTTTAGTATGGTATGCCGTTTGGGTCTTTGCGTGTCAAATAACACTGTGGAAAATCACCTCCCCAGTCAGCCTATTGTGCGTCATTGACATTCATATTGCACTGTACAGCCTTGTCTAAGGATTGGGTTGACTGGTACAATAAATGTGGCTCATTTCACAGTGGTTTCAGAGTCCCGCAATAAGAGCTACGATGCTAATGTTCTGTAGGTGTCACAGAGTAGACTGTCATTGATCCACAATCCATAGGTAAGGCTGTACAGTGAAATACGTATGCCTCCAATTCAATTCTAAAGTCTAAATCCACAGTGTGATTCCAACAGATTTTTGTCAAATTAACAAATTGTCTTTTGTTGAATTTATATAACATTCCAACCTTGTTTAGCATAATCTATTCCATTTATGGCATGATTCCACTATTTGTATTCATTTGCATCAACTTTCAATGAGACTTTTATTTTGAAGGCGAACCGCAAATTCCACTATTGTGGCTAATCCTTATTGTGGCTAGCTTCACATTGGTGGGTCCGACCATCATTAATCAAATAAGAACTGTTTTATAAATTAGGGGTATTTTTAAATGATGATACCTAGCTAGATAGTTAGCTAGCTAACTATAGCTACTGAAACAGATTGTCGTTTTGCTCTGTTTTTGGGGAAGAACATTGTTTGCATCCATCAGCTAGCTACCTTTTTTTTAATGACCGACACTGTCCCAGGGCTTGGCGAAGTGTGTCTGCGCTCGTGCGGGATTGGCAGGTGCGCTAGACAACTTTGCCAGCATCGTAGCATACATATCGGTGAATCGCTGTGACACATGAAATATGAGTGATAGTGTAATCAATGTGTAATAACTACGTAGAAATGAATGTGACTACATTCAATTGTTATGTGACTTGCAGTTATATTCAGGTCCTGATTGGTCAACAAGCTTATTTGACTCGTCAAATAGTGTTATTTGACGTATATCTTTCTTGACATGAAAAGACCCAAACGGCGTTCCATAGTTTAGAGGACAGTTCATGTTTATTGTGTTCAATATGTTTAATGTAATCAATGAAATGCTCTCAAGGAAAAAACAGTTAATTCCAGAGTTGAGAATTGACAATTACTCACAAGCGTTCCAGAATCTACATAATCAATTATTAAACAATAACATGTGACAAACCACCACTTTTAAATAGAAAAATGGCCTCAATGTTTTTCCTGTCCCTCTCAGGTTGCTATGGAGTGTCTGCAGACCAAGTGTCAGATGAGTGGATGTGTGCCCGCTGTGAGGCCAACGCTTTAACTGAGGTCAGTAGTACTGAAATCAAGTACATCTGAAACCATATCCTACTTTATGCACTAGCTCCATACTGTAACATGCAGGGCTCCTTTGCGAAAGAGACCTTGATAAAATAAAGGTCAAATAAATACTAACAATGAGGTGGGATAGGAGAGATGTCATTGCTAAGCTCATATGCATGAAACTCCTTCATAGATTCTAAGAACTAGACCTAAGCTAATTGAAGAAAGAAAGCTGACATCAAAAAAGTATAGGATCAAATCACATTTATTTTAGGGTTCTCCCCAGGAGTTTTATTACATAGTGGCGCAGCCAGTCCACAAGGTGGCGCAGCACCCCTCTTACATTCCTTGGGGAGAACCCTGAATTTAACCTCATTAAATTTGCTGACCCAATATTGGATAGTGAAAGTCCTATCCTGTACTGGGTCTTGCACGCCAAGTAATGAATCTTAGTTTGGATGTGTGGTTCTTGATTATTGGACTATTTAGTGAAATGTATTTCTGCCTCAGAATACAAGTACTTGTCAAGCTGTGAAATATGTCTGTTTTGGATTAAGTCCCAACTTGTTATAACCCAGTTTAGCTGCTAGAGGGCAGTGTTGTTTAAGAGAGAAGTAATGTACATTCTGGCTTTTGTCTCTACATTTACATTTACATTTTAGTCATTTAGCAGACGCTCTTATCCAGAGCGACTTACAGTTAGTGAATACATATTTTTTTTTATACTGGCCCCCCGTGGGAATCGAACCCACAACCCTGGCGTTGCAAACGCCATGCTCTATCAACTGAGCTACATCCCTGCCGGCCATTCCCTCCCCTACCCTGGACGACGCTGGGCCAATTGTGCGCCGCCCATGAGTCTCCCGGTCGCGGCCGGCTGCGACAGAGCCTGGATTCGAACCAGGATTTCTAGTGACACAGTTAGCACTGCGATGCAGTGCCTTAGACCACTGCGCCACTCAGGAGACTCTCCGTGGGACCCAATGTATTGAGCAAAGCCAGGAGCAGAATCGCTGATTTTAGTCACATGAGTAATTATTTGGAATGTAAGGTGATTTCTAGATCAGTGATTTTTGCGCAGTCCTGACTGCAAGTTATCAATTTCAAACCCGCACAAATGACAGAAAGTTGAGACGCAGCTCTCACTTATGTTCAAGTGCTTGTTTCTGGCCACCCCAGAGTTAGCTTCCTAGGTCCATAAAAGTCCCCCATTACAAGATAATGGAAAACCCACTGCCAGGCAGCACAGCAAGGACTGTAAATAGCAGTACTCTGGCCAGCTTTGTTTGCAAAAGGGTATTGCCATAGACAATGTGGAGAAATGTTTCAAATAAAAAGAGTACATTCTGGTAATGACTTGAAGGAATTTAAGTCGGTAAATAACTCATTTGCTCCACGTTGCATTAAATGGGGATGTTTTAATTAAGCCCAATCTTAGTACTGTAAATACTAAGCAAAGGACTGTAAAATAAAGTGAAACCAAAATGTGATGTTAAACACAAGGTCAGAGGTCATCTGTGTGTGTGTCTCTCCCTCAGGACTGCTGCCTGTGTTCACTGCGAGGGGGAGCTCTACAGAGAGCCAACAACGACAAGTGAGTAGTGCAGCGATTTCAGGAGCTACCCATTTAATGGAAGGCTTCCAGGCTAAATGTACAGTGAGGGGAAAAAAGTATTTGATCCCCTGCTGATTTTGTACATTTGCCCACTGACAAAGAAATTATCAGTCTATTATTTTAATGGTAGGTTTATTTGAACAGTGAGAGACAGAATAACAACAAAAAAATCAAGAAAAACGCATGTCAAAAATGTAATAAATTGATTTGCATTTTAATGAGGGAAATAAGTATTTGACCCCCTCTCAATCAGAAAGATTTCTGGCTCCCAGGTGTCTTTTATACAGGTAACGAGCTGAGATTAGGAGCACACTCTTAAAGGGAGTGCTCCTAATCTCAGCTTGTTACCTGTATAAAAGACACCTGTCCACAGAAGCAATCAATCAATCAGATTCCAAACTCTCCACCATGGCCAAGACCAAAGAGCTCTCCAAGGATGTCCGGGACAAGATTGTAGACCTACACAAGGATGGAATGTGCTACAAGACCATCGCCAAGCAGCTTGGTGAGAAGGTGACAATAGTTGGTGCGATTATTCGCAAATGGAAGAAACACAAAATAACTGTCAATCTCCCTCGGCCTGGGGCTCCATGCAAGATCTCACCTCGTGGATCTGCAATGATCATGAGAACGGTGAGGAATCAGCCCAGAACTACACGGGAGGATCTTGTCAATGATCTCAAGGCAGCTGGGACCATAGTCACCAAGAAAACAATTGGTAACACACTACGCCGTGAAGGACTGAAATCCTGCAGCGCCCGCAAGGTGCCCCTGCTCAAGAAAGCACATATACAGACCCGTCAGAAGTTTGCCAATGAACATCTGAATAATTCAGAGGAGAACTGTGTGAAAGTGTTGTGGTCAGATGAGACCAAAATCGAGCTCTTTGGCATCAACTCAACTCGCCGTGTTTGGAGGAGGAGGAATGCTGCCTATGACCCCAAGAACACCATGCCCACCGTCAAACATGGAGGTGGAAACATTATGCTTTGGGGGTGTTTTTCTGCTAAGGGGACAGGACAACTTCACCGCATCAAAGGGACGATGGATGGGGCCATGTACCGTCAAATCTTGGGTGAGAACCTCCTTCCCTCAGCCAGGGCATTGAAAATGGGTCGTGGATGGGTATTCCAGCATGACAATGAACCAAAAAACACGGCCAAGGCCACAAAGGAGTGGCTCAAGAAGAAGCACATTAAGGTCCTGGAGTGGCCTAGCCAGTTTCCAGACCTTAATCCCATAGAAAATCTGTGGAGGGAGCTGAAGGTTTGAATTGCCAAACGTCAGCCTCAAAACCTTAATGACTTGGAGAATATCTGCAAAGAGGAGTGGGACAAAATCCCTCCTGAGATGTGTGCAAACCTGGTGGCCAACTACAAGAAATGTCTGACCTCTGTGATTGCCAACAAGGGTTTTGCCACCAAGTACTAAGTCATGTTTTGCAGAGGGGTCAAATACATATTTCCCTCATTAAAATGCAAATCTATTTATAACATTTTTGACATGCATTTTTCTGGATTTTGTTGTTGTTATTCTGTCTCTCACTGTTCAAATAAACCTACCATTGAAATTATAGACTGATCATTTCTTTGTCAGTGGGCAAACGTACAAAATCAGCAGGGGATCAAATACTTTTTTCCCTCACTGTATGTAGTTACACACAACGCTACAACCACTCTTGTCTGTAGCCAGTAGACTCACTTTACTCTACTCGCTGAATCTAGGACACTTCAGTAAAGGTAAAAGGCAGGGAATGCCTGTAGACCAAGCTAGCTTTCTCCTCTGTCTAGTCAAGTTTCTGTAATGGCTTGTGACAGTGAGAAGCCTGTGCTAGTGTACAACAAGACCTTTGATATTTATGAGGGAGATGTTCTCTATACTGTAGCATTACAAGATCTAATATGAACCTATTTTTGTCTAGGCTACATGTGATGCAAACATTTTTTGTATTTATACAAATAAATGTTTAATATAGCCTAGCCATATTGTTAGTTATTAATAATGTTACTATGTTGTCATTTCCTTGAATGGTGGAATGAAGGCACAGTAAAATTCCTCAGTGTATACTCTCCCCTGCTGTGTCACACACATACTGTGTTTGATGTGCTGTCCTATTTGTTTGTTTCCTGTGACACAGGTGGGTGCATGTGCTGTGTGCGCTCGCGGTCCTGGAGGCGCGCTTCGTGAACATCACCCACCGCAATCCTGTAGACCTTAGCTACATCCCCCTGGCCAGGTTCCAACTGGTGAGCTACCATTCCACCACATTCACAGTCAGGACCAAAACATGATCTAGGTTACTTCTATGTGACTTAGATGTGTATCAACTTCCTGTCATTTCAGTTTCATGGTTGAGTCACTTGACACAGTTTCTTTTTTTTTCCAACTGTTGAGAGATACAGAATTCAAGTTTCCTATAGACTTTTACTCTGTCTTGTGAGCTTAGGGCTACTTGTTTTCCTTATTATGAGCATTGTACACTCTGTTCTTTCTGTTCTTTTCCAGTATTCTTCATTAGCCCAGCACCTATGTTTTTAAGGATGTGCATATGACCACAAACTTCACATTGTGCACTCTTCCATTTTTCATAAAAAAATTATGCTTCCACCATTTGTTGGTGGGTCAGTCTCTTTCATGGCTTTCACTTCTCACTCTGGTCCAGACCCCTTCTGCATGGTTCCTTTATTTGTCCATGTTGATCTACAGTGAGGAAGTGGAGTCTATGTATTTGAGTCTTAGGTCTTTTCTCAATTGGATTTGCTCAACTCCTGCGTCCTCTCTCGCCTCCTTTTGAAAAAGGTCAAAGGTAATCGAGGAGAGGCGGCGAGGAGAGGGAACTTGATTGAAAATACGCTTGTGTGAAATGACTCTCCTACTCCACTCACGCATCATCAGGCAAATTGTTTTTAAATGTGGTAGATTTCTGTGGAGGACTCTGGTAGGATTCACATGAGTATCCTCAATGAAAGGTGGCTATCGAGGAGGTCACTCTTCCGTTTGCCTACTAACTAATTGACATCTCTTTGACCACTTATCGGTTTCCGGCTCACAGAGGGCGGAGGACAGACTGGGAAGGACAGAAAATGTGGCACCTGGGAGCTTGAAACAGAAAGGGAACATTGTAATTTTCTCAATGCCCTTGTCTCCTTCCACCTCCCCTCTGTTTTTTCCCCACCCTCCTCTCACTCCTCTCTTTCTAATCCTCCACTGCTGCTCCTCTTCTTCCTCACCTTCCCTCCTTATTTTCCTTTCCCTGTTCTTTGTCACTACTTCTCCCCTCTCCTCCCTTTTCATCTCTTTTTCAACGCCCGCTGCTCCTTCTCTCACTCCCCCTCTCTCCTCCATCTCCCTCCTCCCTATCCACCATCTTTCTCCCCCGCCCACCCGCAGAAGTGTTTCTACTGTAAGCGGCGGGTGAAGAGGGACGTGGGCTGTTGTGTGCAGTGTTCCCATGGCCGCTGCACCACCGCCTTCCACCCCACCTGCGCCCAGGCCGCTGGCCAGCTCATGCAGCCCGACGACTGGCCGTTCATCGTCCACGTCACCTGCTACAGGCACAAGTCGCTCGTCCTGCCAGAGGTAGCTATTACAGGGGAGGGGTTCATGTAGTGCAAACATGATAATACACTTTTGGGGAAGCATTGCATTACATATTTCTAGAGGGTTATATAAGAGTTTTCTGCCTCTTTTTTCCTCCCCAAATAGCAAATATTATCACAGCAATGATTCCTACACGTAGGTTTACCTCTGCATATTGAGTTTGTTGCCATTTTCTATTGCCTCCACCATCAAGTGCCTTCAGAAAGGATTCACAGCCCTCGACTTTTTCCACATTTTGTTGTTACAGCCTGAATTTAAAATGGATTCAATTGATAATTTGTCACTGACCTACACACAATACCCAGTTATGTAAAAGTGGAATGATAAAAAAAAAAATTGAGTCAATAAGTGTTCAACTCCTTTGTTATCAACCCTAAATAAGTTCAGGAGTCAAAATGTCCTTAACAAGTCACATAATAAGTTGCATGGACTACAATTATCAGTAAGGTCCATCAGTCGAGCAGTGAATTTCAAACACTGATTCAACCACAAAGACCAGGGAGGTTTTCCAATGCCTCGCAAAGAAGGGAACCTACTGGTGGATGGGTAAAAACAATAAATAAAGCAGACATTGAATGTCCCTTTGAGCATGGTGAATTTATTAATTACACTGGATGGTGTATCAATACACCCAATCACTATAAAGATACAGGCATTCTTCCTAACTCAGTTGCCGGAGAGGAAGGAAACCACTCAGGGATTTCACCATGAGGCCAATGGTGACTTTCAAACAATTACAGAGTTGAATGGCTGTGATAGGAGAAAACTGAGGATGGGTCAACAACATTGTAGTTACTGCACAATACTAACCTAAATGACGGTGAAAAGAAGGAAGCCAGTACAGAATAAACATTTTCCAAAACATGCAACATGTTTACTAAAGTAACACAGGAAAGACATTTGTCCTGAATACAAAGCTTTATGATTGGGGAAAATCCAACACAACACCTCACGGAGTACCACTCTTCATATTTTCAAGCATGGTGGTGGCTGCATCATGTTATGGGTATGCTTGTCATTGGCTAGGACTAGGTTTTTGGGGGGGATAAAAATTAACTGAATATAGCTAAGCACAGGCAAAATGCTAGATGGAAAATCTGGTTCAGTCTGCTTTCCAACAGACACTGGGAGACAAATTCACATTTCAGCAGGACAATAACCTAAAACACAAGGCCAAATATACACTGGAATTTCTTACCAAGACTACATTGAATATTCCTGAGTGGCCTGGTTACCATTTTGGCTTAAATTGGCTTGAAAATCTATTGCAAGACTTGGAAATGGCTGTCTAGCAATGATCAACAACCAACTTGACAGAGCTTGAATAATTTTAAAAAGAATAATGTGCAAATATTGTACAATACAGGTGTGCAAAGCTCTTAGAGACTTACCCAGAAAGACTCACCGCTTTAATCAATGCCAAAAGTGATTCTAACATCCTATGACTCTGGGGCGTGAAGACGTACACTACCGTTCAAAAGTTTGGGGTCACTTAGAAATGTCCTTGTTTTTGAAAGAAAAGCCTTTTTTTTTGTCCATTAAAATAACATCAAATTGATCAGAAATACAGTGTAGACATTGTTAATGTTGTAAATGGCTATTGTAGCTGGAAATGGCTGATGTTTTTTTTTTTATGGAGTATCTACATAGGCATACAGAGGCCCATTATCAGCAACCATCAGTCCTGTGTTCCAATGGCACGTTGTGTTTGCTAATCCAAGTTTATCATTTTAAAAGGCAAATGGATCATTAGAAAACCCTTTTGCAATTATGTTAGCACAGCAGAAAACTGTTGTGCTGATTTAAAGAAGCAATAAAACTGGCCTTCTTGAGACTAGTTGAGTATCTGGAGCATCAGCAATTGTGGGTTCGATTACAGGCTCAAAATGGCCAGAAACAAAGAACTTTCTTCTGAAACTCGTCAGTCTATTCTTGTTCTGAGAAATGAAGGCTATTTCATGCGAGAAATTGACAAGAAACTGAAGATCTCGTACAACGCTGTGTACTACTCCCTTCACAGAGCAGTGCAAAGTGGCTCTAACCAGAATATAAAGAAGAGTGGGAGGCCCCGGTGCACAACTGAGCAAGAGTACATTAGTGTCTAGTTTGAGAAACAGACGCCTCACAGGTCCTCAACTGACAGCTTCATGAAATAGTACCCGCAAAACACCAGTCTCAACGTCAACAGTGAAGAGGCGACTCCGGGATGCTGACCTTCTAGGCAGAGTTGCAAAGAAAAAGCCATATCTCAGACTGGCCAATAAAAAGAAAAGATTAAGATGGGCAGTCTGACATATGGCTTTTTCTTTGCTACTCTGCTTAGAAGGTCAGCATCCCGGAGTCGCCTCTTCACTGTTGACGTTGAGACTGGTGTTTTGCGGGAACTATTTAATGAAGCTGCTATTGGAACACAGGACTGATGGTTGGTGATAATGGGCCTCTGTACGCCTATGTAGATATTCCATAACATTAACAATGTCTACACTGTATCTGATCAATTTGATGTTATTTTAATGGACAAAAAAACGAGGACATTTCTAAGTGACCCCAAACTTTTGAACGGCAGTGTATGTAAATTAAATATTTCAGTATTTCATTTTCAATAAATGTGAAAACATTTCTAAAAACATGTTTTCACTTGGTTATGGGGTATTGTGTGTAGATGGGTGAGGAAAATAATTCCATTTTGAATTCAGGCTGTAACACAACAAAATGTGGAATAAGTCCAGGGGTATGAATACTTTCTGAATACACTGTATGTTGTTTGCACAGCAGACAATACCTGCGTCTTAGTTTTCAGGTTGAAAGCCAGTTTGAAGCCAGATTAGACTAAACAAGTCAAAACACGCTTCCCTAATGAAATACCCATTTAAATGTTGCGCAAAAACAACAACCTCCAAACCAGAGACCATGTGGCCATATAGGAACATGACGTCCCATCCCCCACAGTGAGACCTAGAATGCCTGCATGCAGGTACAGACACTTTGACAAGATGAAAGAATTATGTGACTCTTGGATCCTGTGTTACACACTTATTTTATGTCAGCCACCTAATGTGAAGTGTTGTAACGAGCATTGCGTGAGCGAGTCAGAACAATTTTCAGAGACAATCGGTGGCACACACACACCTGGTCTACAGTTTCTTTTGTGTGGGTTAGCCTGTCATTCATTCTCAGCTCGGGTCGATTTCTAGGGTTTGTTTACAGTCATGTAGCCTAGGCCATCGGTTTAATCATCTATGTCCATTCAGCTGAGTGCTGTAACACAACACTTCAATTCAGTACAACTTTATTTATCCCCTCGGGCCATTACTAAAGATCTGCTGGTTGTCTCTGTGACTTTGGCTGCTCTGATTTAGTCAGTGCAGCGGGCAGCACACTCAACCTTTTCCCCCCCTAAAGTGCTGAAGGCTTTTGTCGAAGCTCAGCCTCAGTGCTTTAATTCGCTAATTGGGTAAGATTTGATTGTTGTAAAAGAAGACACAGGACTGATGTTCAATGAAATGCAAATGAATGTTCTCTGAATGTGTTGTCTGGATTTTAATACCTTTGTTGAGTTACCTTAAAAAGATGTCTAACGTGAAGAGAGAATTTCACCTCTACTGAAATTACTTTTACCTTCACATGTATTTATTCTTGCCAAATGTCTTAATCTTTAAGTGGAAATAAATGGTGTTATCTTTATGGTCATCTGTTTATGGTGCTATATTGAATGGTGTGATAATTGTAAAAAATATATATGGCTGCAAGATTTTTTTCTAAACAGAGTTCACTGATGGCTTATGCATTTTCTCGTTTTTTTTTTAAAATATTTTAGCTGAATTAACTTTAAAAGCAGAGCTATATATTTTGTAAATAATATAATTTAAATATATGACTCAGTTTTAAAAGGAGAAGCTGTTAGACGTTAACAAAACAGATGCTTTTACGAGGCCACCTTCAAATGTATTTACGCTTGCCAGATGTCATATTTGTTTATTGGAAATATACAATGTGTCTTCTCTTCATGGTCATCCATTTATGGTGCTAGGGAAAGGGGATACCTAGTCAGTTGCACAACTGAATGTGTCTTCTGCATTTAACCCAATCCCTCTGAATCAGAAAGCTGCGGGGGGGGGGGGGGGGGGGGGTGCTGCCGCCTTAATCCACGTCATCGGCGCCGGGGGAGCAGTTTTTGTTGGGGATTAACAGCCTTGCTATTTGGAGTGGTGTGTGATTATTGTCCTCTTATCTCCTAGCGCAATAAAGCGGTCATGCGAGAGCTGGAGGTGGGCCAGAATGTTATTTGTAAGCACAAAAATGGCCGCTACTACCAGTGTGAAGTGCTGGAGCTGACCATCGCCACTTTCTACGAGGTCGTCTTCGACGACGGCTCCTACAGCGACAACCTCTTCCCAGAGGACATTGAGGTGAGGAAGCATCACCTGTATCATTGGTTGCTTGCATCATAAAATGCTATCTGGAGGTGTTGACAAAGAGCAGAAGACACATTTTTCGTTGTTCGCTGTAACATGGACCGTAAAGTTCAATTGTATTAAATACAAATATAGAGATATACTCTTAACAAGCTGCAATCGCCATGGCAACAAATGCAAAAAAGTTTATACTGTAACTTTACCTTTCTAAATGTCATTGTAGTACAATGAGGAGCCCTAATTTAGCAGTGCCAATAGATCAATCTGTTTTTATCAGTGCAAGCCGTGGGCTACTGTGGTATGGCAGAAACAGTGGTAGTATTGGTCATAGAAATTGACCAATCCTAGAAAGTGGAAACAAATCAATCCAATTGGGCTGTTGGCTATATTGACATGCTTTAATGGTCCAGATGGGTATACTACAAAACAGGATCAATGAGTTAGCCAGCTATCTTGCTGAAATGTACTGAAATATATTTTTGAAATGGGCATGGTCTCATTGACTCAACTAAAACGCGTATCTATGTTTAGCTTTTCTTAACAAACCAGAAAATCAATAGTTATCTGGTTGTTCAGCAAAGTTAGCTAGCTAACTCATTGATCCTGCTTTTTAGTATTACCCCTCTGGTGTATTTAACCATATGACCTATGCGATGAGCCTGTCTATGGTTTGGTTTCAGAACCGGGACTGCGTGAAGCTGGGCCCGCCAACAGTTGGTGACGTAGTGCAGGTGCGCTGGACCGACAACCTGCTTTACGGGGCCAAGTTTGTCGCGTCGCACTCCATCCCTATGTACCAGGTAATAGGGACCACAGTAACTTCCTCGCCCCAACCACGTTGTAGTGGGTTGAGGTTTTATAGGGAAAGCGTGGGTGGGTTTGTGTAATTAGGTTAGCAAGTACAGCTGTTCTAAAACACATCAAACACGGTTGTGGTCCACATTTTTCAAGGTCTATACCAGGGCTCTACAACCCTGTTGCTGTAGAACTACCGTCCTGTAGGTTTTCACTCCAACCCTAATCTAGCGCACCTGATTCTAATAATTAGCTGGTTGATAAGATGAATCAGGTTAGTTACAACTGGGGTTGGAGCAAAAACCTACAGGAGGGTAGCTCTCCAGGAACAGGGTTGGAGAGCCCTGCTCTACTGATTTGCTTATAAATGAAACATTTTGTTTATTCTTGCTACTCTTTTCACGTACTAATTCACATATTTTACATGCACTTCATTCAGCACACATAAAACATTTTTTAAAATTGTTGTGCGATGTCATTGTTTTGTGTGCTGACTCAGATGGAGTTTGAGGACGGATCGTCGCTGTCTGCCAAGAGGGAAGAAGTCTACAGTCTAGATGAGGAACTGCCCAAACGAGTCAAGTCCCGAATGGTGAGACGCGCCTCTTCCTATGTTCCTTTATAGGAACTGATTTATATCAGATTAGGTCATATGAAATGAGATCACATATCAATTTATCAAAGGAATATTGGATTCGGTCCATGTTTATAATACCCATCTATGTAAATGTATTTCTAAAATTCTATTTATGATACGTTGATACTATCTTTAATGGCGCCACCTTAACTCATAGCTAACCGGTCGCTAATGTACTCATGGCCTGTCTCTCACTCCTTCAGTCCAAGGCGTCAGACATGCGCTTCGACGGGATCTTCACAGAGAAGGAGGTCAAGCAGGGCTCCAAGAGACAGCGAGTCATCAACTCCCGTTACAGAGAGGACTACATCGAGCCTCTCATATACAGAGCTATCATGGAATAACCCTCCTCTTTCTCGACTTCCTTATAAACTCACCACACACCCAGAGGGGGGGGGGCATCTCTGGGCACCCACAGCCTGGACAGGTGGCTCCAACCCTGGGTACTATTAGGAACAAACTCTCTCTTCCATGTCCCTTGGGCATTTTTGTAAACCACGGCTGGGACTTTAAGGGAGTTTCTGCTCTTTATGAAATCCCCTCTCTTATTTCTGTGAATGGTATCTTCTTCCTCTTTTGCGAACTGCCCATTAAACTGGAACAGCAGATTTATTTTCCCCGTTCGATGATGACCTGCTCAACTCTATGATTTCAGTTCTGCATTATCTCCTGCCGGCTTTGGACAATTTGTTTCTCCTCTGACAACTTGTCGGAATTCTAACCTCTAGCTTTAGCCATCCAAAAGCATTAATTGGACGATGAAAACAATGGTATTTCACAATGCAGACCATTATTCAATATGATTTTCAATAACATGCTGTTAATTGATTTATTATAATCCCCAAAATATTTTGCTTTATACTCTTTGCAATACATACATTTATGGACTTCATAGGAATGTGCAGGTTTGATTGTGTCTACTGTGACAATAGGAAGATAGAAGTTAGCAGCCCAAGCCTTAAGTTCAAAGGGCAGTGTTTTCTTGTTAGGTTCAGTTTAGCTTTACAACTTTCAAGCTTTGGATTTATTGCATTTAATTTATGTCAGTTGTATGAGTTTGAGAATGCAACTGTTTGTTACCACAGCTCACTGCGCTTACAATCTCAGAAAATCCCTAAGATGTATTTATATTTGTTATGTGGATAGGTTTTTGGACGCACGTTGGTTCTCAATTCTTAAAAGTTATTGGTAGTTTTTTTTTCTAAGCCATCCTGTGTTGCATTGGTAGTGTTTATATGTCATAGAGAATGAAAAAGATAGCTTCCCTACATAGTTCCCATTATGGCGTCTTAGATTACACAGGCAACACCATTGAGGCAATCTCCATTTTGAAGTAGTACATTTTCTTCACAATTGGCTGATCCCTCCTGATGACCTGGCTGGACATGACTCCAACAGGGTCACCAGGAGGGATCAGCCAATGAAGTTAGAAGTCCCACCCAGTTGACAACATTAAAATGGTGGAAGCCCTCAATGGCGTTGCCCATGCTAAAATGGCCTTTTGGCCACTAGAGGCCTCTATCATTCTCTATAGTATATGCCAACGTGGGTCAACTTCCTACTTCCTGCAACAAAAAAAAAGCACTTAAGTCCCTCCCTAAAGTACCCATGGCATGTCTATCATTGCTTATGCAGGTGGCCGTTAAGTCCAGGTACATAACTGAGCATGTGCAGGAAAGTTAGTGTTGGTCAATTACAGCCTAGGTGTATACTAGTTGGTTTGTGGTCCTATCACAACCAGTGAGATGACAACCGCAGAAAGTTTTTATAGGAAAAATTGATATTTTCATATCGTTAGAAGAATGTTCTTCCTCCTAATGCGTGGTCGAAGTTCCTTGTTGTTGACATGAATCGTTACCATCTTTGGATAGTATTGTATATGTAGCTAATTTAAAGCTGTAAAGTCGATCTCAGGAGGAGACACACACACACACACACACCTCCACCGCCCGATTTACGTTTTTGTTTCCATGGCTACTGTTTGAAGTGCTTGGATTTATTTGGTATGTGCACGGGAAGCATCAACTCTGTGCATTACATTTGTAAACATCAACTGTTGCAGTAAAGACCGGACTGAGAGAACGCTAATTTCACGTCTCTTGTTTCTTGTCCCCTTCATACACTAATCTCAAACATCAGTCAATTGAATAATATGTGTTAGGCCCAAATCTATGGAGTTCACATGACTGGGAATACAGATATACAGCTGTTGGTCACAGATACCTTAAAAAAAAAGTAGGAGCGTGGATTCGAAAACTAGTCGGTATCTGGTGTGACCATCATTTGCCTCATGCAGCGCGACACATCTCCTTTGCATAGAGTTGATTAGGCTGTTGATTGTGGACTGTGGAATGTTATCCCACTCCTCTTCAATGGATGTGCGAAGTTGCTGGATATTGGCGGGAACTGGAACACGCTGTCATACACGTCGATCCGGAGCATCCCAAACGTGCTCAATGGGTGACATGTCTGGTGAGTATGCAGGCCATGGAAGAACTGGGACATTTTCATCTTCCAGGAATTGTGCACAGATCCTTGTGACATGGGGCCGTGCATTATCATGCTGAAACATGAGGTGATGGCGGCGGGTGAGTGGCACAAAAATGGGCCTCATGATCTCGTCACGCTATCTCGTGTGCATTCAAATTGCCATCGATAAAGTGCAATTGTGTTCGTTGTCCACAGCTTATGCCTGCCCATACCATAACCCCACCGCCACCATAGGGCACTCTGTTCACAACGTTGATTTCAGCAAACCGCTCGCCCACACGACGGCATACACGTGGTATGCGGTTGTGAGGCCGGTTGGACGTACTGCCAAATTCTATAAAACGACGTTGGAGACGGCTTATGGTAGAGAAATTAACATTCAATTCTGACCAACAGCTCTGGTGGACATTCCTGCAGTCAGCGTGCCAATTGCACGCTCCCTCAAAACTTGAGACATCTGTGGCATTGAGACACGTGGTGCCGACGATTATACCACGCTCAAAGTCGCTTAGGTCACTCATTTTGCCCATTCTAACGTTCAAACGAACAGTAACTGAATGCCTCTGCCTTCTTTATATAGCAAGCCAAGTGACTCACTGTCTGTAGGAGAGATAGGGGGGGTAGTGTACCTAATAAACTGTCCGGTGAGTGTATGTCAGAAGATGATATGTTTCATGTGTGTCTGACTTGTTCCCTTTTATAGCAATTCAGGAAGTTGCATCAGTCTTTTTTTGTTTTGTGACTTCTTATGAGTTCATGAACGTAGTTGCAAGAATAATGAAAACCTCAAGCCACAGTTGTGCAATTTCACAGTGCCAAACAAAATTCCTCTGGTCTGGTTTTCTTGGCCATCTTCACACAAATACTTGGTGGGATATAGACGGGTTGCAACAAAACCGAGGTGTGCGCAACTATGGGGCAAAACACACTGGGTTGGCTTAGATTGTTGACATGTAAACTATATTTAGTCTCCAAATGTTTAGTGAAAACATGAACGCATTTGCACAATGAGCACTTGCCTTTCAAATACATTGTTACAGTTGTTGGTGAGCTAGCTAGTGCATTTTTGTCATTAGCATTGACATGAAATCAGTCAAAACACCACAAGTCATGGTGTCAAGAACAAGATAAAATTATGCCAAACGAGCCACCTATGATTCCCCACATGGCAGCTCCTTGTAATTGTTGCTAGCTATCTGACCGTTCAGAATCATAATGCACGGCTTCCGGCCCCATCAACGCGGGTGTGTTATGGGTGGGGACCATTGGGTATATGGGTTAATAATTTCACTGAGGTTGTCGGAGGAGAAGACTAGTTTTAGTCATGTAGTTTGGATCGAAGGTACCATTGGGATGGGTGACATTGGTTTCAATGATGGATCAAGAAAATCAATAGTCAAGAGATTTTTCAGGACAATGGGAAGCTTACATATTTTGCACATAGAAAATCTACAGTAGTTGTCTTGACTACCATAACAGAATAGTTAGTAGATGGATAAGGACAATCATTAACACAAAGTACTGTACATGGAGACAGCATGTCCACTATACTGAAAGGCAATAAGCTGTAACAATTGAGTTACAATCTGAATTTATAGACCAGATATAGATATATTATTTTATTTTTTTACCCTAGCCCTAGGTTCAGTATGGACGGGGCAAGACCTAGATCTACACATCAGATAATTTGTATCATAAAGGATTGTATCATTGTACGAGACGAGTGTTCCTCCAAAGATGGTTTGCCTTGTGTATGGCTGCTCACCCCGGCCCGGGGCTAAATAGACAGAGAAGCTGCCAACAGAATTACCAAGCCCTGCCAATTAGGTTGCATGAGATAATTGCAAGAGAGCGTAATAAGAATAGAAGCCAAAGCTGTGGCCAAGCTGTGGACTCGATCATTACCACTCCATCTCTTCTCTCCATGTCATTCACTCCGGGGTCACGGGCAGCGATGTCATTCCGATGCCACCGTCATTCAGTCACTCAGAGATGGCCACTTCAGCCTTGCAGGACAGAATTTGGCTAATAACTACCTTGAAAATGTTTTCATAAGCAAAATAATTTTAAACATGAGTTTTAAGGATTATGCATGGGGAAATCAAGGTCAAAGTCTCAGAACATTGTGTTCTTTGAACAGGAAATTTAGGGTGCTATTTTCTGCGATGTTTCTTGTCTTCTTCGATGAGCAGTTTACTTTAGCTTTCTAGGCGTGTCAGCTACTGTACTGTATGTATGAGGCCACTGTGCCAGTGAAATTATCTTTGGGCAGCCATTGACTACTCTGTGGGTATGTAAAGGATTACTCAAACTCTGTGCAAGTGAGTGACATACAAACTTCTACAGAGCTACTTCACTGGAATCGTTTTGTAATTGGTTTATTAAGTGGGTCATTATTCTACAAGCAGGGGCTGCGATATGTAATAATCATTCATTATATATTGTACATTGTGTTGGGGGAAAAAATGGTCCTTGAGGGTGACAAAATATATGCCATAGAATAAAACTTTATTGTCCATCCAGGATGGACATTTTTCTTTGGCATCACCTTACATTAAAAGGATCACGTACACATACTGTACATTCTCACATCACACACATTTAAAACTGTCAGTCCATCATACTGCATACACTAAAAACATAAAGGACATTGATACATTCACTCTCAACTGACCGCTGCCCCAACTTACATTGTCCTGGGTCGACCTCTGCATGTTTCCCAGGTAGTGTGTGTTCTACTCAGTTCTTGTTCTATCCTAGTAGTCATGCCATGGTCCCATGCACCACACTTCCTGAGCTCACCACACTAGGCCATTGTACTCTGCCTCCCCAAGCCTGATTCAGCTCCTCTCTACCACTGAAGCAGACCTGGCATGATGCAGCTACTGCAGCTCCGATTACCATCCACACCTTGATTCCTCACCTCTCTTTCCCTCCCTCTTTCCCTCTCTTCCAGGCCACTGTCAAGAAAAACAAGCACTGAAAGCCCAGGAAAGCAAACCTTTCATGCGATGTACAGGCACTGTATAAATGGCCTCAAAACCCCAGAGAGAGTTCTGTCAGGTTTCTGTCCCTGTAGGGCAGCGAGAGACCTGCTGTGAGGACTATGTTCAGATGGCAGGCAGGTGGCTGGTTCATCGACTCTGCTCAGTAGACTGA